TCTAGTACTTTTTTATTTCTTTGATGATTCATGTCGACCAAAATACATACAGCATAAAAAATTATTACAAGTTAATATTCTTCCATTTAAAGAGTGGAAGTTTTTACTCAAACCATGCCATAAAAAACTTTGCTTGAAAAAATACATGAAAACAAGCAAATTTTTTAATTTTAATCATTTTTAATTAAGAATGTGACCCAGAATTACCTTGTCAATTAATTCTAAAGTAAAATATATAAAAATAATAAGAATAATTTAGAATTTTAAAGTTTTCTTGCAAAGGTTCAGTAAAAAAACCTGCTTTACAGCACCAAAATAAATCAAACGCTACTCTGCACAAAATTCACTTAGAAACAAATTGTAAAAGAAATACTTAGTATTAGTTATAATAGTAATTAGGGTAATTTGTAATTTCTTATTTTTGAATTAATATAAATTATCTCAATGAACAACCTCCCATGTATTATACAATTCTTCATTGGGAGGTGCAGAGAGACAGCTAGACGTGCAAATAAATCTCCTATATCAAATATCAGCCCTCTTCACTGCGCCATCCGACTATAAAGCTTTATTGCACTCTCTGAACCTACGTATGTTGAATGTTTACTGCACAGAGATCAAGCAGACTGCTGGAGCTGGCAAACCAGTTTTAATTCACATTTTTCACTCACCTGCCGAAGCGCTTTCTGAGAACAAAACTAACAATGGGCTAAAAATAAGTATAGGAAAAAACGAGTACTTCACTGAAGTGATTTTATTATTTGACGAAAGAACTAAATAAATTATATGGTAAATTTTGTAAAATAATTGTTATTATTTTAGATTGAAGTGGAGAAATCAGCACTTCATGAAGTGAAAAAACGTGCTTGGACTCAAATGATATAATTATTTTATTTAATTCGATTTTCAAGATTTAATTTTACTGTTCAACTTTGCAAATGGGAGTGGAAGATCCAGAAAGCCTGTCAAAATCATATTGGAGGCTCACATTTGGAAAGAGGAGCTTGTCTGTTTGAAAAACTTAAAAACAAAAATATATTTAAAGAACTTTTGTTAAATTTACCATTTTCATTTTGTCGCAATGATTTTGACACGTTATCAATTTTGCGTCACTTGTTTCGCCTCCGCTGACTTCAATTAGCATATTGTGGAAGAATTTCCATAGGAGAATCAAGCAAATAAGACACGAAACAAATTTTGCTGTAAAAATAATGAAGCAATTTTTTTTAACTAATATCACAAGATACAATATAATTGACCTTCAAATTGGTATTTTAATAAACTTGCCTCATTTTCCTTTCACGACTGCAGGGACAATTATTCAAAAGATTTATTCTAAATAGATTGAAGAACACGTCTGGTTGTTGCCAAGCTGCACGTGCTCCGGTGAAATATATGACGGTGATTAGAACTCGATGTTTTGTAAAATAATAAATATATATGACCTAAGCAAAAGATAACCTTCAGGCTGCCCTTTGGAGCTAAAGTATTTTTAATTTAATTTTATCATAACAAATATGATGATTTTTTTAATAGGTACTTACATTATTAATCAAAAATTTTCATTCATTAAAAAAAACACTGTCTTAAAGCGTTGTTATAAAAATTTTTGAGATTTTTTAATAGATTTTGTATCTGTATAATTTCTGCTGTGGGTTTAGATTTTGGTTTTTAGCAAATATAATGCAGACGAGAGGACAATGAGTCGGAGATCTTGAAAAGTTAATTCCTTGCACTCTCGAGAGGCGCGAATGTTTAGCAAAGTCAAGGGTCGCGAATCACTCAAAAGCTCTTTATGCAAACACGCTGCGTCATGCCTAACAATAAGAAGAATAGGCGTTTTTTCCTCTTGATTGAATAACAAATTTATCCCGCTTTTCCTCTCAAAGGTCTCTTATATGGAAATCTCTTGTCAACGCAAAAATGCTATGCTCATTGGTTGAAAGCGAAAGTGCCCATTTCCTTTCCTGCACGAATACAAAAGATATAATGCATTTTTCATATTTTATCCATAGATTCGTAAAGATATGCAAAAAGATAAAGATTTTCACACAGATTTTTAAATACAAGTAAAATGCAAAGCTTTAAGTTTTAAAAGCACTTTTCAATTTTCAATAACATTATTTTCATTGATTTGAATTAAATAATAATTATCTTTTAACTGCTAAACTAACTTATTGCAGCCTATTCTGAATTTTTAATAATTTTATTTTATAATGCATTACCCACAGATTGTTACATGGCATCTCTAGCTAAAATAGATCTGCTATGGAGCTTGAATGCTGCAAAAAGATCAGAATCGACTTTTCCATTAAAACGAGCATGTTGCATTTTAGTCGCTTGTTGGGCTGGTGCCGCATTCGCCCGAATGTGTGAGTGAGGCACGTTTCCAAAGAGCTGGATGGAAATGGTTGGTTGTACCGCACACTGGGTCCGACGTTATTTTTTATTTCACGAGAGATGTTGCTTTTATTCTGGTATGACCGTGAGCGAGCGCTCGGCGTGTGTATGAAATTGCTTGGGAGCTCTTTCTGCTCGAGAGAAAAGTTTATAAGTTTTGCTGCATTAAATACGTACGTGTTGCCATGGCGCAGACAGGAAAGGGTAATTAATTCACTACCCTCAAACGGAATTAACGTGTAAGAGAGAATAACATGATAAAATGTGCAAGTTTGTTCAAACATGTTTTGGAATATTTTTTCTTGCTTCTCATTTCTTCTGCTCCAATTATGTTTTTTAATTCTAATGCTGTGCTGGAAATTTGAAATAGCTCTTCAAAAAGTCTCTTTTTCCTAATAAAAAGCCTATTATTTTACATTGATATGTTGGTTGAAAAAGTACCGAGTATATTATTTCACGCAAAAATAGTCTGTAAATGATGATCAGGACATTAGCAGAAAATTTGTTCAAATTCTTAATATCGAAAATAGCATAACAGCATAAACTTATAAATTTTTATTTTTAAAAATTTTGTTTTATTTTTGTTGTTTAAACTATAGAACTATTTTAAATTCATAATTATAATATTGAAAAATATAAAATATTTAATAATATTTAAAATGAAAAAATACCAAAAAATATATAAAATTGATAAAGAATAAAATATTTTAAATTATATTTTTTTTTGTCTGAAAATTTATTTTCTAAAATTTTTGGCCAACGTTGTTAAATTCTAAGAACATTTTACAAATTGTTGTCAAAAAATTAATATCAGAGTCTACACAAAATTTTGGAAGCCAAATTATTAAAAAAAAAAAGTAAATAAAAATACTCAATATTCTGAATCTCCAATAAGGTTGCTTTTGTGAACAATATAAAAGTATCGTTTTAGTGTAAAATATTTTGTTGTACTTCAAAACGCACCCCTATTTAACCTACTTTTACCGCCTCATCAATGAAAATTTAATAAGGGGGAAATATCAGCCGCACCCTCATTTCATAATCCTGCAGAAATCCATAAATATTCAGTATAGACTGCCAAGCATAATATACTTGTACGTGCACCGACTTGGTTGACACCGAGTCTCTGTTATCGACTCACACTCGAAAGCACCCTTTAAGGGTTGAAATCAAGACTCGGTTGATGTCGCGTGTGATAAAAATTGCTCGGAAAGAGTCCGAGGTTGTTGCATTACATTTTTTGTACCACTTTTATTTTGTAATCAGTTTAGAAATGAGCTTGAATTGCTGCATTTCAGTTTTTTTTTAAAGCTCTTTCACTTTTTCACAATTTTTCTTCCATCTGAATAAAATGAAATTGCGGCGCAATATCCTTTTCTGCAGCTATCGTCCTCCTTTTTTTCAGTTCCATTTCTTTCTTTTCAGAGATATTTCTTCCTTATCTCTGAAATCTTATTTCATCATTATTTTGTTCAACTAGATAGGGAAAAAAACCTCATTTAGGATTTCATACATGAGCTCTTTGATATAACAATGGAACATTTAAATACAAAGCTTTTGGTAATGGACTAATCGACGGCAGACAGACAATTTAAAGGTCTTGTATATAAAACAGTTGTTATCGCGATGAAATGTGGACAAATTAGCGTTTTCATGGTCGCAAACACGTTTCACGCGAACAGCAAAATCGATTTTTGTATATGTAAATTACGTCGAAAATCTCGGTGCAACGCGTGCCGAAAATTAGTTTACAACTTGTGAAATGTGATTTATTGGCTTCAGTCACGTCAGTTTTTGGAAGCAGACAATTATCAAATAAAAAGTTTTTTTTTAAAGTAACCAAATTTTAAGAGATAAACAAAATTGAATGGAAAAATTATATATAGGCTAAAGCAATTTATTTTGATTCGGAAAAAGATATAAATATAACAAATTTATGTTTATTCGTTTTCAGTGCACTTATCTTGAGATCCAATCAATTCCGCTAATACCATAGGACATTTTGAGGACTTAATGCTCTATTTGCCAACTGGAAACACGCTTTCATCAATTTTCGATGAGAATGCGCCACATAAGTGTTGGCTAAAAGTTTGTTTGATCACTGAGCGGTCAAATAGCTTTGCACGTGTATTTGTTCATCTGCAAATCGTTGACGGAAAATTGGTCTAATGTTGAACAATCATAAATTGGAACTAGCGGAAGCAATTTGAACGATTTTTATTTGATGAGCACATAAATAAATTTAAGATACAAGAGAAAAAAATAGTATTTTTGGCTAAATAGACACAAAAAATTCATGTTAAACATATTTTCTCCAAAAATTAATTGCTGTTCTTATTTTTAGAATTTCAAATTGAATTCAAGTTTTAGACTTTACAATTCAATACCTGCTAATTTTTGCTGAATCAAAAGTTTTGATTTCTGCAAATCCATATTTATATGGAAAAATTTATAAATTTTTCCATTAAGTAAATTTCAATTGCAGGGGAGACGCTATATAATTTTCCGTTCAAATTTAACACTTTTTTCCACCTTCATTTCTAGGTTATGAAGTGTTCTTTTATTCTAAACATTTTTTTGTCCTCTGTTTTTTTGTAAAGATGGCTAGGACTGGTGGTGAGTGCGTTTCTGGCTCTGTGCGCCCCTTTGATGACAGTCGAGGGCCAGCAGCGAATTCCCACAAACCTCTATGAAATTGTGCCCACTGATTACACTATTCATGAGCCGCCGCCTCTTCTGGATGGTAAATTGCCCGGCCTGCTAGAATAATATTATGGCAGCCTCAAAATTTCGCAAAATTTCCTTTTGCAGGAAAACCAGTGCCTGTCGAGTTTTCCGTCAGCGTCAAAAATATACCTAATCTGGATGAATTGAAACAGGTAAGAAAAATTAGTTTGTTACATTTATAAAATATAATTTTTATTTAATATAAATTTAAAATAAAACTAAACAAATTTTATTATATTAATATTTAAACTGTTTTATTTCTTTATAAATTTTTTTCATTTATTTCCGAACTTTATATATCTAAATTAATTTTCTAATTTTTATGTTGTTTTGAAAATAGTTAAAAACAAAATATAATTAATTAATTTCTTCATTTTTTTGCAATGCGATGAATAATTTGCAACTGATAGAATAGAAAACTAGAATTAACAAATTTTTTTTAATATATTAGGCACATTAAACAATTTGATAAGATTTGATTCAATTTGGCTGTATCTACTGTAGCAAAAGTTAGTTTTGAAAGACCGTTTTAGTCACTTTAAGACCTTCCTTAACATAACAGTGAACCATTTTCCCCCGCGTCAGCTCTTTATGCCAGTTTGCTCATAAAAAATTGAGTGCGCCCTTCGCTAGGCCTCCGTGCCTAACACAAAATGCAAACTTTGCTGCCGGCGGCGAATGTGGTCCACAGGTAAACGTGGACCGTTCGCAGGGGATTTAACGATCCAAGCGAAATGGGAAACGCAAATAATATGACACCGCGCACGTTAGTCCCGCTCGAAACAACGTCACCTTTCACGTCAGGTCGGCAAAAATAATTGCACGTGCAAAATTCGCGACTTGAGCAATATTTACGCTTTTAATGAGAAGTGTCGATGAGTGGACACTTGACAGAGTGACAAAGTGACAGAATTTTCATCCATAACCACAAGGAAAGGGTTGCACACTATTATTTTCACTTTCCTTGTGATCGTTACTACCGGTGTAAAAATGTTTGCATTTTTTTTGCCCTGATATTCATTTTGGCAGTAGATTTTTGCAAATTTCATTAAAATTTTGAAATTTGAGAATAAAAAATTACTGAAATAGAGGAAAATTCGAATTTCAACTGAAACAAAATTTAAATTAAATCGAAAATAAAACTAAATTATGCTTTAATAATTGATTACTTTCTTCTTCCCCAACTCTTTAGTCTGGAAGTAAATTTCATAAAATAATAAATAAGTAATCGCTGAGAATTTTGTTGCAAATATTTCCGGTAAATGAATCAAGCGTAATATTTTAAATGTGAAAGTTCAAGAGCAAAACTTTCAATGTGCGTGGTCGTGTGGAGTGCGGGAAATAATATAATTTTATTGACGATGAACTCATCGCTATTTCAGGAGCTGAGCATGGAACTCAATCTCAGGATCTACTGGGTGGATCAGAGGCTGCAGGTCGGCCCCTACTTTGAGGCTTTCCCCAATAACACCTACATGAACGCCAATCCTGCCCTTCTTAACAAAATCTGGATTCCAGACGTTTACACCGGTACAAAAAATTAAAATAAAAACTCAACCTTATTTTTACTATTTCCCATAAAAAATCCCGATCTAATTTGCAATTTTTGGCAGATTACACGAAAAGCGTGTCGGCTCCGAAAATCCTTGCTGCGCCCGCCTCGCTTCGGATCTACCCCAACACCACCGTGCGCTACTCGGCAAGGTTCGTAATGAATTTATACTGCGGCGCTCGTAAATTCAAATTAATAGCCTTTATGGAGCCACGCATTAAGGACCGTGTTCTGCTTGCTCCATAAAAATAAAAATATATAGTGTTTCCCACGAGATGATTAAAATCGTTATGAGATTTTGCAAACTAAAAAAAAAAAAAAAAAAAAAAAAAAAAAAATGCAAATTTTCTACATTTTTTTCTTTCAGAATAACAATGCAGTTTGCCTGTCCCATGGACTTCAGGAAATATCCCGCCGACACCCAGAGCTGTGATATGAGCTTAGAAAGCTGTAATTTTAAAAGATAAAAAATTAGAAATGTTACAAATTATTTTTTAATTTGCAGATGCATTTACTAGGGACAAAATTTACTTCAGCTGGAGACCCGAGGGCGCTTCTATTAACATAGCGCACAGATTGGCGCACTTTGATTTTGATTTCCACTTTAACAATGACAAGGAAAACGTCAATTTTCCCTCAGGTAAATTATTATTATTTCAGTCCTGTAACAAAAATTTCTAATCAAAAATAAAGTTATATAATTAAAATTTATGCAAATTTAGGAAGCTACCCAGCGATAACTTTGACCGTTCTTCTCCACCGACGCATCAGCTATCACATGCTGCAGACGTACATTCCGAGTTTGATGTTCGTCATCGTGTCTTGGTTGTCGTTTTTGGTGCCCCCGGAGAGCGTGCCGGGTCGCATGGCCATCTGCATGACCACCCTGCTCACCCTGACGGCGATGTTCGCCGCCGTCCGACAAAGCACGCCCAGCGTCAGCTACGTCAAGGGACTCGACATTTGGATGGTCGTCTGCATCTTTTTCGTTTTCCTCACGCTGGTCGAGTACACCCTGGTGCTAAGGTACTTAATATGCGCTTAAATTTGCACGTTTAACTAAAAGAATAATTTAATTTTGCTGAAAAAGTTTACAATCAAGGTATGATAAATCGCTTTATTTTAAAAAATCAGCGGCGTTCTTTGGTGAAAATTTGAAATACAAAAACATGCAATGAAATAATAATTTTGTTTAAAAAAAATTAATCATAAATTGTCGATACTTTCATTTAATTTTTCACAAAATTCACCGAGAAATCGCCGACTTTCAATTGTAGAAAAGAGTAAAAAATTCTTTTTGTATTTACAATTTCAGATTGACCAAAAATCTGAAAAAGAATCAGTCTCCACCAACTTCTGCCAAAAAGCCAGAGCCCAGCACAAACTCCAAAGCCAGTCCGATGGAACCGCAAATGCAACCGGCGAAAAACGGCGAAGAGGCCTCTGCGTTCCACAAGGTTCGACCACCCTTTAAGCGATCGGCCGGGATAAACAAAATCGTAAATTGTGTGCTCAAGTGGTTTTGATTCTTTGATTGTTGCAAAGCTGTTCATGCACTGGCAAAAGTCTTCTTTTCCACTTTTTTGCTTGAGAAAAAGTTGCTCGTTAATTTCCTTTTGTACAAAAATAGTTTGCAAAAAATTTCAAATCACTCAAGCAATTATAAAGCCCTTTAAATAATCCAGAAATTTATCATTTAAATGAGAAAAGAACAATATTAAACAAAAAATAGAAAATACAACAAATATTTTGAATCACAAAAACACAATATTCACAATACCGAATTTTAAAGTTTTTTTTTTTAATTTTTTTAATAGTCTTCAAATTTTTCTTCTCACCGAGTTGATCCTTGAGCACCATCGTGTTTTTTAGCGAGAGAAATGTTTGCAAATCGGAGTGATTTATTTTATTTTCCTCTGAGGAGAAATTCACTTATTTTGTATGCAAATAAATTTCAGTTTACTGGAGACGTGGTGAGCGGTCCCCCGTCGACGGAATCGCCGCGGACCTGCTTGACTGCCTGCATCGGCGGCGACGGACCCGACTGCTGGCGAAATCCCACCAAGCGCGGCATCCTCATTCTCGAGACGATCAGCTGCATTTGCATCCCAGGGGCTTTCATCCTCTTCAACTTTTTCTACTGGCCTTTCCTGCTGACCAACTCGGACGTCCCAGTCAACAGCGCTGCTTAAAGGAATGAGGATTTTTTTCATTTCGTCTGCCAAGTGACCTGCTGAAAACCTTTACTTAAGGAAAGACGCCAATAATTTTTTTTTATTCCTTAAAGTGGAAGAATTTTTCAAACGAGATTGGTCTTTTTTCAGGAATAAAAAAATTAACCGGCGGCTCTCATTGTATATTAAACGAGTGCAAAAAATATTTGTACTCCGCCAATTTGATATTAAAAAATATTTTACTTAAGATTAAGATTTCCTCTGATATTGTACTTAAAAAGTTTTACAATTACAAATCATGGAAACCTTTTACGCTTATTGTATTATAATTTAAGAGACACTTCAAAATGACGGATTTTTACTTTTTTGTGGCACTTTCGAGTAACAAAAAAATATTTCGATAATTGTATAATATACGCACAACGAATTCAACTCGTAAATAAAATGTGCTTGCACTTCCAATTTTAAACAAATTTAATTTGTTTTTTTACCCAATAAATTCAAATTGTATTTGTTTATTTGAAGAAACCCAAAATTAGGGCAGCGGGATGATCTGCAGATGAATGTGCGCGCGTGAGAAAGCGAAAAATACCGTTCCTCCTTCTTTTTCGCCTCTCGGGCTCAACTGCAGCGCGTCGCAAGAGTTCATCCTAAGGTAAGAGCGGCCGCGAGTCGCTCGGAAGAAACGACACAGGCAACAATAATAATTATCTTTCTTTCCTTACCTGCACTTTGCAACTGCAGTGAAGAAATAATATTACATCAGTCGTGGTTTTGCGTTTTTGCAGCTGCTCGTTTAATAACAACAGATACAGAAAAGTGCATTCTTGGCAGGTTATTGTTGCACTTGAGTTGCGCCGGTCAAGCTGCTCGGCTGTGTTCTCGTCCGACTCGTTCGCTGCAGATACTTATTATGAAGAGCGAAATATAAACGCCAGGTGAGCAAGATAATTTCTGCATATATGATAAATTACATCAAAAAGCTGTGACATTTTCCTTTTTTTTCCATATCAAATTTAATTATTCTACAACGCATTGTAAAAAATTAATTTATTTTTAAAATTATAAATTGGCAATTGTATTTTATTTTCATATTAATTTTTATTTAACTTTTTAAATTTATGTAATATTATAAAGTAAATTATATAAATTTAATTTTAAATTTTTGACTGATTATTTTATATTCCAGGGTTACTTCTAAGAATTTTTAATTTTTACAAAAAATAATATAAAATTATTTAAATTTATATAAAACATTTTGACTTTATTGTCAAGAAATATGGTGTTATTAAAATATATTTCTTAACTTAACTATTGACAACTACACTAAAGAAATTAATAATACAAAGCTCCACTTACTCGAGTATAACTTGTACATATTTCGACTTTTTTAGAATGAAACTCGTAAACAAAGCAAGAAAGACAGTAAGGAATTTGAATGAAGAGGTATCATTTTTAACGACAAAAAAATTTTTGGTTCCAAATGGACATATTTTAACTGATTTTAACGAGAATTTAAGAACTCTTGATAATGAATCAATATTTTCATCAGGAAGTATCTCCTTATTTTGATAATTGTTAAAAAAATAAATTAATCCATTATCTTAAAATAAAATTTATTAAGCGTTTGTATTTTTTAAATTTTCTATGAGTTATCCTCGCGGATTCTTTTAATTCATATTTTCCTAAGGGAATGCAAAGAAACCGCGCGGATTACTCACATAAAGTTAAATAAAAATTAATCTATTTATATTTTACACTAAAAAAACTAGAAATGCAAATAAGTTGCTTTAAATTAAACTGATTTTGACTAAAAATGGTTTTAACTTTTCAATTCGAATCAGCTATTTTATTTTAATTTGCAACAAGGGCTTTTACATATTTTAATTATTTTTTAAAACAAAATTTACCGAATTTTATTTTCTCCGACTTTAAAAATATACGCTTGAGCTTGAATGGAATTTCATTATTATTTTTATATCACTCGTGCAGGCAAATAATGCTGACGGCTTGTTTGCAGTGAGAGCGTTAATTGCACTGTAAATAAATTATCTGCACTTCTCTGCAACAATCAAAAATAGAATAAATAAAAATGCCATGTCACATTTATTTGATTTATCTCGATCGCGATCTGAGCAGCAAAATACCGATGCACTCTTGACGCGGTCAAAGTACACAATTATGTATTAAGCGCGTCCCATCTCGGTGGAGGTCACCCTGCTATCACTCTGATAAAATTTGTCACTCCCCGGATTTTTTATGTATTAATTGCAAAGTCTGGAGTTTGATGCGGAGGCGCACATAATCGCGAGTAGACGCGACGTAATCGAGCATCCTTGTTCTTGTTCCCCCCGACCCGCGTGAGAAAAAAATGCAATAAAATGGAAATTTTCTTCACTCGGTGTAAAAAAAGCACTTCGTCTCACTTTGTTCGCAGCAGTTGCAGAGGTCGAATCGGCGAGGAAGCTCTCGCAAGTTCTCCAAAGTGCTCGAAAATGGACGTAATCCTCAACCGGCCACACCTAATTGCCTACTTTGCCGGCACCATTTTTCCTTTCACCTGCTTCATTAGGTAAGTGGCAGAATTTGATTTTATTGGTGATTTGATTCTTCAAAATAAGTTGTAATTAAATTTTTGTTAACATTTAGGTAAAGATTTTTTTCAACGGATTGAATCAAAATTTTACCTGATCAATATTACAACTTTTGTTTATATCAGCAATTATTATGATTGTTTATAAAACACTCTTTAAAATTACTAAAACTACTCAAAATTTAAATTTTTTGTTTTGATATTTAGCAAAACCTTTATACCAATTTTATCATTTCTTAATATTGAGATTATTGTTAAAATTTTAAAGGAAAATTGGGGTTTACGAGTTTTTGACACAAATTTTCGTGCAGTTATGTGCTGGCGCTGGTTCTGGACCACATAGGCCCGTGGATTACCTACATTAGCGATGCCAGCACTGATCCGCCGATAAGTGGCATATTCGGAATGCTGCTCAGCTACTCTATGCTCGCTTGTAAGTCGGATATGCAAATTATGTCCATAAAAATAAGAAGTTTAAATTTCAAATGCATTTTTAGTCCTGGCCACTGCGTATTTGCGGAAACAGTTAATAGACTTTGTGTTCGAGGAACGACCCGAAATCGCCACATCAAAGGTTCGCCTGTTCAACAACTTGTCCGTCTTGTTTGCCTTGACCTCGGTCATATGCCTCATTTTCGTTGCCCACTTCCAAGTCCACACATCCATATTCTTACACGGAACAATGGCTTTTGTGGGTATCGGATTGGGAGTGATTTACTGCTGTTTCCAGGTAAATAACTTAAATTTAAAAATAAAATATTAATTTTAATAAAAAAAACTTGATATAAATCTAATATAAATTTAAATTCAATTTGCAGATTTAGGTTTGAAAAGCAAAAACAAAAATAAGTAATTTTTATCAAATCTTGTTAAATAAATTGTTAATTATGTTAAGTAAATTTTATATAAACGGAATTGAAAATTATCTTACCAAAATTCCAATTCTAATGCAGAAGGTTTAGTTCTGAAGAAAACTATAATTCTGTTTTTACTCTTGATTTTTAAATATTTTTAGGATCATCGAAAATGGCTTTAAAATCTAATTTATTTAAAAATGCATTTATGATTAGTTTAGAGCTAAAATAGAGATTATAGACCTATAAACGTAATGTTTTCATTATTTTTTTTATGCCGGAATTCACAAATTTTCAGGTTGTTTGCACCAAAGCAATGATTCCATTCTACACAGCCCCTTCACTTTTGTACCTGAGGCTGGCCCTTTCCGTCCTCAGTGCTATCGCCTTTGCTTTCGGCGTCCTCTCAGGTCTGCTGTCCATTCACAAATTCAAAGGTAAAAATCGAAATTGTAGGTAATTTTTTAGAAAAGCATTTTTAACGTTTTCTCTTGTGGTGCAGGAAAAGAGCTTCACAGGTGGGCACCGGAAGACGGCGGTTACCTGGAGCACGCTGTGAGCTCCGTCTGCGAGTGGATTCTGGCGCTGGTCTACTCGGCCTACATCATGTCTTTCGCACACGAGTTCAAAAACATCCGCATCCGAACGATGAAAGTTGCCTGGAAGGGACCGGACAACGACGCGAAACTCGACTCGTCCAGAGAAGACGCATAAATCAAAATCTTTTTATTATGTACAGACGATTTTAAAATTTAAAACAATGTTAATTTATAAATTTCAAAGAAATGTACGTGCATGAAGGATAATTTGTATTCATATTGTTGAGAAGTAAAGACTTCAGAATTAATTTATTTGCGTTTTGCAATACAAAATATGAACTTCAACCCCTTGCGGCGGCTCGAGTATGCAACCCGCTCGGCAAAAACGTTGCGCAAGTTGCCTACTTCCATTTTTCACAGATGATTTATTCCCTATTCTCGAGTTAGTTTTAATGAAAGTTTCAGAAGGTTTATTTGGTTCCCAAACTCTAATCATATTAAGAATAACTTATGAATTATACATCCTATTTATCATGAAAATTACACTTATATATAAATTAAATTAATTTTCAAACAAGTTTTCAAGTTTCCTGATTTTTTATCTTAATCGGTAGTTTTTTTTAACAAAATTATCAGGTTCTTATCGTTTGATTAAACTTCATTGATAACCTATACTAATGAATAGGCTTTTTCCAATATATAAAAAAAGTGATTGCTAAACACATCTCAAAAATGGATTTTATTTTCGTCTTATTCATTTTTACTTCAGCATTTCTAAATTTTAACTCGGTAAGAATTTAATCTTTATCAGCCTTAATTTTTTTTCTGAATTTTCCAATCAGGCCACAAACTGGGCGCAAATCCAGCCTTTGAAACAAAACGCAGCAATTCTCAACAAAATTCCATGGGGTAGTTTTTTTCATTTTTCAACAGTATAAAAATTAAATAAATATTTCAATATTAGAGAGTGACAGAATATTTGGTGGAGTGGAAGCTGACAGAGGAGAATTCCCATTCATGGCGGCCTTAATTTTGGACGACGTAGCCCTTTGTGGAGGAACAATAATATCCAGCACATCAGTTCTCACTGGAGCTCAGTGTTTAATTGGGTAAAAAATTTGAAAAGATATTCATTAAAAATTAAATTAATTTTCTTTCAGTTTCCAAAGCTGCGTTGTGCACTTGGGATTGCACAATTTGACAGACGACGGGGAAACCGGCCGCATTATTGTCAAAGCGAGCAAAACCATTCCGCATGAAGAATTTAGCCAAATCAATCTAGACAATGATGTTGGCGTCGTCAAATTGCCTTTTTCCGTAGAAGCCTCAAGTTAATAATTAATTTTTAAAAATTAATTTATTAATGAAGTAAAAAAATTGGCAACTCTATTCATAATTTTTTTGATTTGGTTTTAAGTAAAGAATGTCATTGTGAAAAAATCCCCTTTTTTTACTTCATTTGATCTGCATCAGCTTTATTCGTATTAAATTTAAAAATGTGATAATTCCTTTCAGATATTTCTCCTGTCAATTTACCAAGCAGGTCTTTTGTGGAAGGAAATTCTTTCGAAGGCTACACATCACGAATTTTTGGCTGGGGCTTAATGCCTGGCGGTATACTTTTGATTTCATTTTTAATTATTTATTAAAATATATTGATACTAATAATTTTCCAACAGCTACGAATTTCACTGACATTTTGCAAACGACCGAATCGATTGTGATCAATAATGCAGAATGCCAGGATCTTTTCCCTTTTGTTCCATACGTCACACCTCTGAAAATTTGCCTCGATAACGTCGGCGCGTCCGGCGCCTGTGTGGTAATATTTTTTCGAGCAAAAATGTTTTGAAATTTAATAATAATAAAAAAAAAAAATGTATATTTTAGGGTGACGCTGGAGGTCCTGCAGTGGTGCAGAGGCCAGAAGATGGAAAATTTGTTCAAATCGGGATAATAAGCTTTTCTGCTGGAAAATGTGGCTACAGTTTGCCTGTAATTATGACCAGACTTCCTCTCTTTTTGGATTGGATCGAGGCAAACTCTGGAGTTTTAATACAAGATTAATCATTTTTAATAATTGTTTGATTAAGGATTTCTTACAATTAAGCTTAATTATATTAATTTATTAATTATAATTTGTTAAAGGGGGAGCGAGTTATAAAATTGTTTAACAGAAACATAATCTGAAAAATAATTTATAAAAACAATATTTTATTTTCAGAATTTTCTGATTTAGAAATTTGTGTCTGGACAACTAGAATATTTAGAAAAAGAAATTAAATTTATATTACACGTAAAGGCGATTAGTCATAAGTGGTCTAGTTACTAATTTAATTATATTATTAAATTTAATTATATTTTAGATTTTTTTAATGACGAACTTTGTGGATATTTTCAAACAATTAAAATTAAAAAATGTGTTTAAATAAAGCATTAAGTTGGTCTGAAATAGAAAAGTTATCCTCTAATGAACTCAAATAATTTTGTATCCAAATTATTTATTTGCCGCCGCGGCTTCTACATTTTATCTCCTCCCCTCCACTGACTCTCGGGCCTAGAAGGGAGGAGGGGGCGTCGAACACAGCTGACGAAGAAAACAAACAATTTTAATTTCGGATTCACTTCTCTCTTAATTCTCTACGGTTATTTATTAATTTTTCAATCTGAAAAGTGTATTAACTTCAGTAAATATAAGTTTCTCCTTCGATGTATCGAATTTGAAATAAGAAACTGCAGAATCACGATGGTGAGCCTGGCAAGAAGCCCCAGTCGCTCAGCAGTTGTTGTGAGTTTCAACTTTTTAAAATTCCGCTTGATTAAATTTGCAATCTTTATTCAGGGTGGCTTTTCTTTCGCCAACGAAAACTCCATCAACACCGATGACGACGAGATTCGCATTTTGCAGCCGGTCCTGGGCTGCGAGGACGAGTTTTTCCAGCCCCTCGGCACAGTCACTTGCGCAGTTTTCCAGATCATAGTTTGCGTAGGAATTCCCCTTACCAATTAACCCTTTCAATCTATATACAAAACAATTAATTTCATTTTCTAGGTTTTATTCTCTGTGCTGGCCATCGCTCTTGTCCTGGCTTGGCCTCTGGAAAGACACGCCTGTGAGCCGTTTTACTTCATGGCCTATGGTCAGATTTTCTTTTGGATTTTTATGATGGTTTGTGCTAAAATTTCAATTATAATGGCACTAACCTATTTAAATTTGAAACAGTTGACTCACTTTTACATTGGAAGTTGCCACGAAAAGATTCGCAGAGCTGGTTATTTGGATTTTGTTCTGGACATTCGAGTTTTGTACGCCATGCCGTCTCACATAGTCACTTTAGGTTGGAATAATTCTTTTTAGAAAGGAATTTTTTAACAATTATTCGTTATAGGCAACGTAGCGATCCTGCTGGTCTCCTCCATTGTCCACCAAGTGTACGGCCTGAACCTCGAGACCAAGTGTGAAAATCCAGCATACAAATTTATGACTCCCGTCATTTACGAAGCTGCCGTTGTTTTGGTGCAGAACATAATTATGATGCCATTTCTAGTCTCGTACATGAGTAAGTTTGTTATTGGTTCGAAGCGATAATTTTTAGTAAATAATGTTCGTCAACAGTGCGTGTGATGAGATTCAATCGAGTTCAGCCTCCACCTGATGTCCAGCGGGAAGAGTGGCTGGCCAGTGTTATCGACGACTCTGTATTCAAAAAGGGCGAAGTTGGATTTAGGTGATTGAAATCAGATTCAGGGTCTCTTTATTTCAATGAGTTTCTTCTGCAGGGAAAGGACGGACCAGACTGCCCTTCTACTCGAACAGCAAGCAGACCTCATCAGGTACTTGAAGGAGCACAACGCACATCTCGGACAGAAGCTGGTTCAACTGAGCGCCCGACTCGGTGGGGAACATGACTGAATTTAATCAAATTATCTTATAACGACGGACCGAATGAATTATCTGATAAATTTTGAAAAACTTTCATCTCATTAGTTATTATTGTGAAGTATTTGTACGAAAATAATTAAAAGCACATAAATTGTATTCACAAGTACCATTTTATTTCCTCAACTTGAATCTTAAGTATTTAAAATGCAATGCTTAGCAAGAAGAATGGTAGAATTTTCGATTGGTATGTTTGAAAGTGTAAAATATAAATAATAATATTTGTATTTTTCAACAATTGAAGTGACAAGAAAGCATACTTGACTCAAAATTTACTTTGAAATCCTAGATAGTCAGTACGAAATAAATAAGTTACGTCCTGACGTCTACAATCATGATAATCATATTTTAAAAATAAAATAATAACCATATTATTCTTTATTAAAAATTAAACTCGCCTAAATGAATTAAATTCATAAACATCACGAAACATGCCTTCATGTCCATACCTGCCGAGGCCCAGTCGCACGTTTGTTTATTCTAAGGAGAATAATAGGTAATCCTTCATTCAATAATTTTTTTAATACAAAAAATATTATTTGTATTATATTTTTTTTTTTTTTATAAATATATAAAAGTCACATTTCTTTTAAAAGTTGATTATTGATTTTTTTCTATATCATGTAATAAAATTTTTAGAGTATCATCTATAAATTAATTTTTCTTATATTGGATTTAAAAACTGAAATTAAATATCGGGTACGTTAATTAAGTTTTAATTTAAAAATAAATAAATACGTATATACAGTGTAATTGTATCAAGCTATTATAAATATAAAAATGAATTTTCAATTTTCATTCTATTCTGCTTCTTAAACCTTAAAATTTCTTAAATTTAATTACAATCTCATTTACATTTTTTAGACAATTTTAATGATAAAGACTATTATGTCCTGTTGTAAAAAATAACATATTTGGTTAAAAAGAGTGTCTGACTGGATCACCTCCCTGTAAGTTCAATTTTATGGCGTTAAAGTAAGGAAATTAATTTTAAAAAATAGTGAGTTATTGAAGAATTGTGACCGAGGTTTCTTAATTTTTTATTCAAGCGAAGGGTGAGTATTTTATTTAATATTACAAAAATAGCGATTTTCCCATAAGATTCCATGTTAAAGTTTAAAAGTGCCTCTGATTGTGCTCAAAAGCAGCCAGTTGCGGCCAGTTGCCTGAATCGAGCGGAGGGGTAAAGAGAGTCTCCTCTCCTCTCCTTGGCACCAACTGATGCACCTTAGGGTCCACTCTCTCCTTTGTCCTTTCCTTACGGAGGCGCAGACGCATAAGGGCCGGCGGCTGACGACTCCGTCCCTGTCCCATAGTGTCCGTCCCGTGTTGTCTTGTGTCCTCTCCAAGCTCACACCGAGTCCATAGTCTTAAGGTAAGACTAAAACAATTATATCGTGCGCTTTAAAACGAGCAACTAAACCCTCTATTAGTTTATAAAATAAATATACTTTTATAAGTACGAAATTTGTATAATTTTAATAATTCTTGTCGCGACGCGTGTATTATATTTTTTTCATAATTAAAAATTCAGCGCGATGATCATATAATTTCTTTTGCATAAGTCGTCTTGCGTAATTTTTATTAAAATGTAAATTAATTGAGAGTTAAAGATCTCCGCGCAGACAAGAATTTTGTGCCCGTGCATGATCGAAATGTAAGCGATGCGCAGCGCAGCGCGCTAGCACGAAAATGTTTTTGAAGAAGTATGTGTCTGTTTTATTCTGTTTTCTCGCATCAGAACCGCGGATCTTTTTGCATTCCAACAATTTGTATTATTTGCTTTCGCTATACTAACTGCATGAAGCAGTCAAGCAACGACGATTCATGTTACGCATCCCTCATGTGAATTCGCATCACCAGTTTCGGAAAAGATATTTCAAATGCCATTCGCAAATTTTCGTAAGGTCGTGTCTTACTATAATTTAACAATTAATTTTTAGGACACTTTCTACATATTTATTTTTCACATTAAAAGAGTAACTTATATTTTAATATATTATTTAGATAATAAAAAATATATTTCAAAAATAAAAAATAAATCGTTAATTGATGGATTTAGTTAATTGCTATTAATTAGGATAAATAAAAATTATCACAAGTTGATGTGATGCTTTTTTACCTACACCGAATTGATTTGTTAGCATTTTTAAATTCAGTGCATTATTAAATTATTTGTTGAAAAACATCTCTGCACGTGTCAAAGTATCTCGCGTCGATCGCGAACAATATGCAGAAATTAAGTATAGGCAGGAGCGAAAGGTTGTAGGTCAACAGTACCGCGGACCAACAGTACCGCGGCCTCAGAGCGGTCAAGAGTACCGCGCTGATGCAGTGTAGCCAACTGCACATGTGGGTTTATCATTATTATCTTTTGCATCAATTGAAAATTATGCTTAAAATATATTGTAAAATTTGCAATTTTATATCATTTACGTCCCTCTAAATGATGTTTCTAAAAAAGAAAGGAAAAAAAATTAAAATTTAATAAATTTGAAATCTGCACCTTGTTATTTGAAGTGAATATTTAAAGAAAATAATCATAAAATTTTAAAATTATGCTTTCTATTTATGTTAATCATTACAATTACTTAAAACAATCTGTCCATTTGCCATTCATAACCATTTAAAAACCACTCTTGATATTCTACCATTTATTTTGCTTCAGGGTGAAAGTGCAGCAATCAAATTAAAATGTTTTAAATTTGAATTCAAAATTTAATTCAAAATTTTTGTCCCCACCAAAGGTTATTTATTTATTTTTTTTTTTTAATTGAAAAAGTGCCTATTATTTTCCCATAAGGTTCCATGTATATACGAGCGCTGTAAGTAGGGCTCATACGCAATTACGCAGCCATGATCCTCCCCGCTGAGCAATGGCTTGTTTCTTTCAAGGATCTAAAAGATTTTTGGATTTTTTGGTTTCTTAAAAAAAAACTTGGCGGGACTCCTGGCGGCCGTTGTTTTAAGTACCAGGTATTAGAAAGAGAGGGAAGGCGGGTATGCTGGCCCATGCTTTCTGGCCGAGCAAAATTGGGATGTTGAACATCGCATTTTCAGCATCGCGAGTAGTGGGGATGTGATGTTGATTACTGGTGGGAGTTGTGTGTTGTGCTCGCTCGCCTCGCCTGCGATCGGACATCGGACCGCGACGTCCGCGACAACGGAAAGTCGGTCGGCTCGGCTTAATTTTGGCATAATTATCATAATTATAATTTATAATTTATTTACTCTCCATTCGAAAAAAAAATTCAAATTTTTGAAGGATGATTTTTAGTTCAAAGCAATGAATTGTGTTCCTTCTCATAATGAGTTATTTATATTTATTTTATATTGTGATTTAATTTAAGAAAAACTTATTTTCCGAAGACAGAATAAAGTTTATTGTTTTGTGTGTAACTTAAATTGTCAAATTAATAAATATTAGCATTTAAATTCCTTTGGCATTTTCTCGCTCAGTTTCAGAAATCCACAATAAATTTCATTTGCAAAATAAAAATTTAATTAAAACAATTAAAACATAACGAGAACAAAATTTCAATTCATTTACATTTCTCCGAAAAATCAAGAAAATCAATTGTACAAAATAATTGTTGGAGATAAAAATGCACATATTGTTAGTGAATAAGATATGAATATTCAGAAAAAATATCATATTTCAAGTAAAATAAGCTTTACGATTAAGTAAAAGATAAATTTAATGCATTTTTATAACATTTAGAAAAAAATTTATCAATTTTAAAATTTAGCCTTATAGCTATTTATCACGTAAAAATTATTATCTCTAGTAAATATAACTTTCGTCTAATTTTTTTAATTGTATATCTCAACGCCATTTTGATTCAATTCGCAAAAAAAATTTGTTCATTTAAATTTAATTATAAGACACCATAAGACACTTCAAAGTGTCTTATAATAACCAAGAATGGTTATTAATCGTCTTAATATATTAAAAACTTTTAGCTTGGATGCTCACAATAATTTTTATATATTTTGGGCTTAATAGTGAGTAATAAATTTGCAAAAAAGCAGGAGCTTTAATTCAAAATTGCAAAAAGTGCTCCCTAAAATGAAAACTAAAAATATCGAAAAAAATATGCCGCGTCGCGCTTCCACGAGCGCGAGAGCCAAGAGCCGAGGACACCCGATTGTAGAGGCAACCTCTCCTACCGCGAGGGACAAGAGGAGAAATCTTGTTGATTATAATAATTTTAACATTTATTTTTCTAACTTTGCCGCTAATTGTCGTAGAATTACAAATGACACTTTGCCAAATTTGTATTTTGACGTGGATTCCAAATAGGTCAAAAAATTTCAATAATAAGCCACTTTTTCAAATTGTCAGTGATTGAACGGGATGTCAATGTCATGATCATTGGAATGCTTTTGTGTGTAAAAATCACAAATATAGAAGTCGAGCAAAATTTTCACTAGAGCAGCCACCGCTCTTAGGTAGAGAAGCAGCAGCTCTACTTGGTGCTGTCAGTGCTCTATGGTAGAGTTGCGATAGGCCTAAAAAAAAAGCTGTGCCCGCGGTCCAGCATCATCGGCCGGCAGTGGCTCCAGTTTAGAGCTGTTACAGGCCTGTTGTTGGTTGGGTGTATATATGCAATGAATTACCGATGACTTTTATTCGTCAGGCCTTCAGTTGCTTATTTAAATTGTCTAATTTATATGCAACTTTCGCAGCTAGTCAGCACTTGTATCGTTTGTATGTGTATGTTATATATATATAAACATTACAGCAACGAGCGGAGGCGGAGGGGTGAAAAGAGTGGGTTCTCCTGTCCTATATTCATAGTCCTTGATTCTGAATTCTGATGCACCTCAACCCCTTTTTGTTGCGACAGGTGATTTAGTGCAGCAGCAGGAGATCAGGAGACAGCATGTAATATAGGAATAAAACGACTGCCACCTTTGAACACAAATTAAACTGTTTTCAGTTTTGTCTCGAGATTTGTTGAGCAAAAGGTAGTTGTGATTTCACCCTTATTTAACTTGCCTCACACTCTACATGTCCTTTTCAGAGGTGTAAGCAACCAGGCTCTCAAAATGGATATGATCACAAATCTGCTGCTGAGAAAATAATTAGCGGATTGAAAAACGTAGCGGTAAAATTGAACTAATTTTTTTTGGGTCTTATTTTTTAAAGATTTTTTTTATTGCAGCTTCCGACAGAAGATGACATACCAAAGGAGATGTCACAAAGGGCAGACGAAATTCTAGCAGCTATTCATCTGACTGATGAGGAAGGAAAGAAAATAGCTCCGAATATTATGAGTTTTCGTCATCTTCGTTTTTAATGCGCTTGGTGTCTTGACAAGTGTCAAGCAGCAACAACTTTTAATAATTAACCTTGCCTTGATGTGCCGAGCTATCAAGCATTTAGGTACATAATATGTTTTTTATGATAACGACAGTTATATGTTTGTTTTATATTTTCTTTATTTTAAATATAATATCAAAATATTCTTTTTTTGTTCTTGGTTTAGTTTTCGATGGTTCTGGAAATAAATGCTGCATTGATAACTGCGCCCGAGAGGCTTCGTATAAATCCAGTTGCCAGCACAATAAGCTTTTTTGCAAACACTGCATCCACAGACCTGGCCTACGTTGTGACGAAGCAGCATGCTCTTGGTCAAGAACTCCTATAATAGCTTTGGATCAATCGTAAGTTTTATTGACTTTATTGATTAGTTATAATATATTAATTAACTTTTTATTTGCAGGGGGAAAGCACCAGCAGCTAAAGCAGTGGATCCTAATTTGAGCATTGACCATGCCAGCATCCTGGAGGCTCAACTCTCTGCAGCTAATGTAAAAACCGCAATTGCGAGAGCTCATTTCGTAATTTTCATTCATTCCGAAATTTTTGTTTCAGCTGAGTCAACATCCGATGCCACCTGAGAAAATTGAAAAAGCGAACTGCCTGCTTGCGGCTTTATTAGTTAATAAAGCCACACCAACTGATAAAATGGAAAATGCATTCGAGTATTCTTTCTAGCAATAATGGACATGTATCGGAAGAAAAAATTGACATCACTTTCGGACAAGAGGCTTTTACTACTGCACATGGCTGAGGTTGCAGAAATCGTCTCTGAAATCAGTAATGCATACTTATACTCATTAATTTAGATCAATTTACTAAGGCGTTTGGAATTTTGCAGTGTTCCCAGAGGGCATGAAGTGTTCACTTTGCGATGAGGTGTCCGAAATGCGATCGCTGTGCTGCCTCAAAACATATTATTGTGGTCCATGCTCACGGAAGAAAGGCAACACGTGCATCATGAACTGCGCTTGGAGCGGTTCGATTTATGACCTATTGCCGTAATATTTGTTTTTTAAATTTGTGTGCAGGAGAGCGTCTTATTTGCTATCAGATGTAAAAAGAAATTGTGTATATGTTTTCAGTGTATAATATGATAGCCACAAATAACTATTTAGTGCCTTTTCTTTGTGGGGCAACTAATATTAGAATTTCATATACATTTTTGTGTTCATTAAGATCTTGTGATGCCCAATATTGAACAGTAACACCAAATTCAATAATTGAAACAAAAATCGCACATTTTTTCATGGTACCTAAAAGTAAATAAAATAAAAAGTTAGTGTGTTTATATATATGTACTTGTTTATTATCTCCAACATCCTCACTTAAGGATAGTCCAGTATAATTTAAGAAGACGACAATGGAATTTGACTGGTTAAATTATTTAACCTGCTAAATTCTTAATCTTAAGTTTTTTTATACAAATCCTCCCACACACATGTATTTTTGCTTGAGAGTGACTTTTTTTCTTAAAATAAACAGTGGTTTACCCCCGACAGGCCAATCTCGGAAGCACTCGGCGATCACTTGTGATCTTTTAGTCCTTATATTCTAAACTTAAATTGTGTTAATTTTTTACATAAATTTTTGCTTTCTACAGGAAGGACAATCTATTTGTAGAAAAGTTTTATTTATTAATTTTTCGTCCAGCTTAGAGCAGGCTTATAGAGAAGCATTCTTTGAATGTAATACTTTATTTTTAAACAGGCATTGTGATGGTACTGATGAAGATCTCGAAGAGAAGCCTGTCACAGAGAAAGATACTGTCACGAGGCCCTCTGTGTAGTTGTGAGTGACACCGTGCTAGTAGTAGAGGACCTCGTAACAGGGTGTAAAGGTAGAAATGGTATTACGTGAGTTCTGGATAACACTATGGATGGATTTATTGTGTAGCGCCGGACGGTACAATGGTTATGGTCGGAATGGCTAGTGTGGGTGACTCGCAGGTGACTGTCCATGTGGGTTCACTGGATGACGGCCATGGTGACGACGTCTCGTCGGACGGTCTCGTCCAACTGCTCAGTGAGGTGCAACTCTACTGGTGCATGGCTGCTCTAGTGCATAGCCCGTGTACGACTGCCTGTGCGGTCCGTGTACGACTGCCCTGGCTGCAAAGCCCGTGTCCGCCAGTACGCTGTACTGCTGACAGTGCGCTAATACCTGACTCAAGCTCATCCGCTATGTCACACCGTGACAATACACCACCACAGCCCTCATCAGTCAATAAAAAGAACAGACAAATGATGGCGTTGGCGGCGTTTCGTCGTGCGGGGCCCGTGTGGAAATTTTATTGGAGGCCCCCCCCCCCCCCCTAAAAAAAATTAGTCCCAGTATTCCCAGATACCAGTTTCAATTTAATTTTTTTTTATAAAATCAAAATAATTAATATTAAAAAAAAAAAAAAATAGTACATGGTAAGACCTATTTTGGCCATTTTAAAGGAATTGTTCAAAGTTCAAAGGCTATTATTATTTACAGTCCGTTATTGCGAGTTATTATTGTTAAAAAGTCGACATTTTCGGTAAATTACAAATGTTCAGTTTTGGTTGTAGGTTCTCAAGAGCGGGTGGGTGAGAGGGTTAAAAAAATCACTCTACGCCAAAACTGGCTAGAGATTTTATCAAAATGACCTATACAAGATTTTTAGGTGGTCATCAGAAAACCATGATTTTTTAATCCAAAGTACCGAGTCACGAGGGTGGATCAAAAGGGGTGAGGGGGGTAAAAATCATTGTTCGCCAAAACTAGCTAGAAATGCTCAGAATGATCTGTGCGGGATTTTTAGATGGTCGCCTGAAACCATGAAATTTTTTTGGTCCCACCCTGTCGCGAGGGTGAATCAAGGGCTGAGGGTGTAAAAATCACTGTTCGCCAAAACTAGCTAGAAATGCTCAGAATGACCTGTCCGAGATTTGTAGATGGTCGCCAGAAACCATGAATTTTTTTTCAAGACCCAAGGGTGGATCTAGGGGTGAGGGGGTAAAAATCACTGTTCGTCAAAACTAGCTAGAAATGCTCAGAATGACCTGTCCGAGATTTGTAGATGGTCGCCAGAAACCATGAATTTTTTTTCAAGACCCAAGGGTGGATCTAGGGGTGAGGGGGTAAAAATCACTGTTCGTCAAAACTAGCTAGAAATGCTCAGAATGACCTGTCCGAGATTTGTAGGGTCGCCAGAAACCATGAAATTTTTTTTTTCAAGTCCCAAGGGTGGATGTAGGGGGTGAGGGGGTAAAAATCACTGTTCGCCAAAACTAGCTAGAAATGCTCAGAATGGCCTGTCCGAGATTTGTAGATGGTCGCCAGAAACCATGAAATTTTTTTTTTCAAGTCCTAAGGGTGGATCTAGGGGTGAGGGGGTAAAAATCACTGTTCGCCAAAACTATCTATAAATGCTCAGAATGCCCTGTCCGAGATTTGTAGATGGTCGCCAGAAACCATGAAATTTTTTTTCAGGTCCCAAGGGTGGATCTAGGGGTGAGGGGGTAAAAATCACTGTTCGCCAAAACTAGCTAGAAATGCTCAGAATGCCCTGTCCGAGATTTGTAGACGGTCGCCAGAAACCATATATGAAATTTTTGAGTTCAACCCCTTCAGTCGCGAGGGTGGGTCTAGGGGTTAGGGGGTAAAAATCACTGTTCGCCAATAGTAGCTAGAAATTATTAGAATGACCTATACAAGATTTTTAAATGGTCTCCAGAAAGCATGAATTTTTTTCTTTAGCTGGTGGCCTGGTGTTGATCTAGGGGAGAGGGTAAAAAGATGTCAAGAGAAAATTTTTGTGCTATACCGAAAAAGCTAATTTGCGAGCGAAGCGAGCAAAATTTTTCGCCCAAAATATTTTTTGCCTGAATCATTTTTTGCTAATTTTTTTTAGTTTTATTTTTTTACACTTCGTCGGGCCCCGCGGGGCCCCTTGCGACCCGGGGCCCGTGGAAATCTCCGCCCCCAACACCCTTGTTGCCGCCACTCCGTCGTTCCTTGGAATGAGAGGATGCCTGGAATGGCTGTAAACGTCAACGGAGGCTATTTTAGTCAACGAAGACCACATATTGTAAGTAATTGTTGACAAGCTAGATTTAGGACCTGGATTTTACTGAGACTATTTTTTATAAAGAGATAAAATCAGAAAAATAAGATTCACCAACGGTGAAATGCTGCTAAGATTTACTGGAACGGAACAGGGCTTAAATTTAACAAGAATGGTAATTTGCCATGCATAACTAAATTTATTGTCTTTGGCGTTTATAAATCTAATTTTTATACATAGGATCACATAGGATGATGCCTTGGAGGTTTACGTTGAAGTGAAGGCTTTGCAGCAAGTGAAAAAAAAACCATGAGGGAGATGGGAAAAAAGCAGCAAAACTTGTACTGCCTTTAATAGCCAAAAGTGAATTACTAAAGTACTGCACGGTGGATGGTAAACAAGGAGGACCGGTCAACACCGGATACTGTTGCCTAGACGGGAGTGTTGTACCCTTTGCAGGACTCCCAGAAGATGCTGTTGATTCTATATTAAGTATCCCTCTTTTTATATGCCTTCAAAAGTTCCATTTTAAAAGTCAATTCTTTTACCTTCTCAGAATTCATACTTCCCATGAAACCTGACACCATGGAAGTGAAAAAATGGAATTCAGGCATAAAGAAAAGTGTGAACAAGCTGATTCTTAATAGAACCTACAGAGGAAAAAGTTGATGGTGTTTGTGTCACTGGCGAGTGGATGAACAATTCTCAAGTTTTTAGGACTGAATATATTAAATTAAAATTAATGTATTAAAACGATGGACCGAATGAATATATATGATAAATTTTGAACACCTTTCATCTTGTTAAGTTATTATAAAGTATTTGTATTTGTACGAATAATTAAATTAAAACCACATGAATTGTATTCACAAGTACCATTTTTTTATTTCCTCAACTTAAATCTAAAATATTTAAAATGCAATGGCTTAGCAAGAAGAATGATGGAGTTTTCAATTGGGATGTTTGCAAGTGTGAAAATTATTATATGATTTTCAAAAATTTAAGTGACAAGAAAGCATACTTGACCAATGAGAGATTCTGCACTGAAAATTTACTTTGAAATCCTATGATTGATTATTATGAGTAATTGAAACAGAAAATAAAAAATGAGTTGATTTATAACATCTTGATAAGTCAGCTGCATGCATTTCAATCAATAACCTTCGATAGGTTAAAGAGGTGCGCAATTTTTTTCCAATTATTTACGAGTGCAAAATTTCTCAATAAATTGTCAAGCAGAGAGGTATCACAGATGATGACTTACAGCACACACAAACTAAAAAGCAATAATATTTATATTTAAAAAAAAAAGCACCTGACATAATTTGTAACGCATTAGGAATGAGAGAATTTTGAACTGAAAGGGAAGCACAACTCTTGCATAATTCTTTTCAGTGCGTGCCTGACCACAGGTGAAGGTAACTGCTCCATCCCCCTTGGCCAGGGGTTGGCGAGGTTGGAGTGGATGGGGCGGCGACAGTCTGCAGTTGCTGCAACTCTTCCTGGCTGAGTTTGAGGATGGTGTTGAGCACCGGCACAAGACGGGCCCGCTCGTCTCCACCCTGCAGGGTCACAAATTTGAGCACAACATTTTTCAGATACTCCCCGTTTTTCTCAGTGTGCTGGAGCCGCTCGGCACACCGTTGCTGTCTTCGGATTTCCTCCTTCAGGATGGCATTCTGATGAGTCAGCCTGGCCAGATCGGCCTCCGCCTCTCCGAGCAGAGCCGACAAGTGCTTGGCCCGCTTTTCCGAGGCGATGGTCGAGGACATCAAGCTGGCCGCGTCGAAGGACGCCTCACTTTTGGCATCCTCGGCGTAGTCACTCGAGCTGGAAAGTAAACGGTCCAGAGGAATGGGTTCTCGGCTGTTGGTGCTGGCGTTGCCTTTCAAAGAGTCAACGTTTTCCGAGCCTTCGCCCTCCTCTCTTTTCAGCAGAGACACCGGAGGCGCCTCCTCTTGGTGCTCCTTTTTCTCCTCCAACAAACTGGCAATTTGGGCCTTGTGCCGAGTTTCGGCCTCAATCAGTTGTTGCTTGTACGAACTTGCCAAGGTGTCGATGCTCAGTTTGTGCTGGCGGGTGGTTTCTTTCAGATTGTCCTCGGCCCTCTTCAGCTTCAAACTCAAATCCTCGTGCTTGTTTGTCAAATCTGTTATTTGGTCGATTAGGCGCCTAGTTGACGACTGGCTCTCGGCATACTGCCCACTAATAGCAGCGACCTCAACCTAGAAGATAAATCATTGATATCTTAATTGATTTAATAAAAAAGGTTATTTATTCTTTCTTAGTTAAAAAAAGTAGGTGGTGATTTCAAAATTTTATATTTTAAATTTAATATTGAAATATAGATATTATGAAGAGCAGCTACATTTAAATTGTTTTTACAGAAATTTTTACTTTCATGAGCCTGATTGGTGATTTTCACAACAATTCCGTTTAGAGCTCATTTCCATGATTGCTTTGATTAACTTCAAAAACTGAACTTTTTAAATATGCATTGTTTCAATCAACTTTGTATAACTTCAATTACGTTGGCAAAAAAAAGTATGCTTGAACTGAAAATTTACATTTAATCTTATAGGAAAAACATTTTTCCTAATAAACACCTTAAAAATATTTACCTGAAGAGCTTTCTCCTTGCTCGAGGCGTCACATAAGGCAGTTTGCAGCCGCTCGACCGTGGTCTTGAGTAAAGACAGTTCACACTCCCTCTCAGGGTTGTTCTCCTCCTTCGGTGGCTGCTGCTGTTGAGACCTGAGCAGCATCGACTGCGCCCGGACCTTGTACCCTTCAAACTCGGTCTGGATTTTGGCCATTTCTTCGTCGCGCTCCTTGACCGTAATCCTGGCCGCGGTCACTTCCTCCTCCAACATCCTGATCTGTCGGGAAACCTGCTCCTTCAGCCTGTTCGTATCTTCCTCGAGTCTGATTTTCTCGGCCGACACGTGCGCCAACTGCAGCTCGACCCGCTCCAGCCGCGACCTTTGCGCCTCAAAGTTGGCCTCGGACTCGGCCAGTTTTTGCACCTTCTCAGCAAGCCTTGATTCCAACTCCTGCGAGTGACTTTTCCGCTCAGCCAATTCTTCCTCCAATTTTTCTTTGGCCGTTTTCAGGCTGGAATACTTTTCCTCCCAGTCCGAAACACTCGTTTTCCCTTCGTGGGCCAACTTTTTCTGGCACTCGAGCTGCGCCTTCAAAGTTTCCAGCTCCTTGGTCAAATCCTTCATCTTCCTGTCCTGCTCGGCAGAACTTTTTTCGTAAGCGGCCACCTCCAGATTCAAGACGCTGTGCCTCTTCAACTCGTTTTTGGCGGCGTCCAGCTCATCCTTGGTTTGCTTCAGTTTTGTCTCTGTTGCAACAACTTTGTCCGTGGCCTCGACGAACTGACTTCTAGACTTTGCCAATTCCTCTCCTGCCCTGGTCAGTTGCTTTTCGGTCGCTTTCAGTTTTTCCCTGGCAGATTCGGCCTCGTCGGCGCTTCGATCACAAGCTGCTTGCATGCTCTGGAGGTTCCGCGCCAGGTTGTCCCTTTCCTTGCTTGCGTTGGACATCTTTGACTGCATTTCCGTTTTCTCGGCCGCCAGTTTGGTGAGCAAAGAGGCCTGCTCTTGGCACTTCTGCTTCATTTTGACAGCAACGGCCTTCAGCTTTGTGTACCTCTCTTCGAAACTGTCCTCGACGTCCTTCAGCCTCGCCGCGTCGTCTATTTTGCTCACCGTGCTGATACTTCCCGTTTCACACTCCTCCTTCTCCAGCTCAGATATTTTTTCTTTTAAGTTTGCAACTTGATCTTGGAATTCTTTATTTTGAGCAGCTAAATCGTTGAATTTGATCGCCTCTTCTTTCAACTTTGCCAAATTTGAGTGTAGCTCATTGTTTTTAATTTGCAAATCATCACTCTTGCCTCTTTCCTCCTCAATCTGGATTTCTAGCTGGGATTTCTGTTCTTCCAGAAATTTTAATTTTCCTATTTCCAACTCCAATTTGCTGTTGCCGTCCTGAATAATGAGTTTTAATTTAGAAAGCTCATCCTCAAATTCAGCTTTTTCCTTCTCTAAATCTTGGATCTTTGCAGATAAAATATTATTGTTGCTACCCAGTTCTTGAATTTTCATTTCTTGGAGCTTGAGTTTGGCCGTCAATAGATCAACTTCTTCTTTCTTCTGCTCCAGTTCTGCGCCGAAATTTTCAAAGGTGGATGAAGTATTTTCCGTTTCAGAATCTGCAATTTTCAGCTGGATTCCGTCTAACAAAGAGTCCTTTTCTCGATTGATTTCAATCAACTGACGACACTTGTCTTCTAATTTTTCTATTTCCTTGCTATTCTCATAGTTGTTTGCCTTAAAGTCTTCAAAGTTGGACTGGAGTTTTGCAAATTCGTCATTGACGTCATTTATTTCTCCCGACTTCAAATTCAGTTTCTCTTCCAGTTCAACAGCAACTTGCCGAGACACATCTAACTCTGCTTGCAACTTTTTCATTTCACTATCAGCGGCCTCTTTGCTAACAACAAGTCTCTCAACTTCATTCTTACTTTCCTCCAGGCCTAATTTCAGTTCTGAACAAAGCGTTTGTGATTTTTCAATATCTTCGAGCAGACGTTTCTTCTCTTCTGCGAATACTCTTTTCTCTTCCGCCAGAGCTTTGTTCTCCTCTCTGCACGCATCCCTTTCCCTTTCAACTGCACTCAGCTTTTCTGCCAACTGGGCAGCAACTTCTCCTCTCGTCTTCATGGCTTCGTTCATCTCAGCCAGGAGGTCCATGCTCTTGAGCCGAGCAGCCTCTTCAGCGGCCTCCTGAGCCTTCGAAAAAGCCTCACCAAGCTCAAGGGCCATGGATTTGGCAGTCGATTGCAAGCTCAAAATATCAGTGCGGAGCTCAATTTGTGTATCCCGGAGAAACTGAACTCTGGCTTGACATGAGTCAAAAGTCTGAGTCTGGAAAAAAATTAAAATAAATATTTTATTGCTTTTGATGGGAAAACAAATTTAATCGGAGATTTCTAATAATTTTTGAAAATTTTTTTCTAAAAAAAACTTTAAAATTTAAATTTATTAAATTATTGATGATTAAAAATATCAATAGTTTTATTACCTCTGAACCCCCACTCGTAGCTTTCTGACCCTGCAGTCTGGCCCTCAGTGAATCTCTCTCGGCCAATGCTTCGGCTGCAGTGTTTTTCACATTCGCAAGCTCCTCGTCCAGTCCTTCCAGCGCATCTTGTCTAATTTCGGTCCCAAGGCGCAGCTGCATTTCTGCATTATTTGCCGCTAGATGCAGCCTCTTGTTTTCAGCATCCAAACTTTCCAACTGAGACTCGAGGATGGAGCAGTCGGCTTCGGCCCGGCACAACTGTCTTCTCAGACTTTCCATTTGCACCTCTTGATCTGAGTTAGCCGCGTCCAGCTTCTCTTTTTCGGCTTGAACCTGAATAAAAAATTTAAAAAAAGTAAAATTTGGTTTCACTATTTTCCCAAGCCGCACCTTTTCCTTTTCGCTTTTGCTTTCTTCAACATCCTGCTGGAGTTTTTTTACTTGTTCCTGTGCATCTGTAAACAAAATCGTGCAAAGAAGCTTTAGAATTTGTGAATAATTATGAAATTTGGCAAAAATGACTTGATGATAATCATGAATTAAAATGAGTTAAAATGTGAAATTTTATTTGTATGCGCAGGTTTTAAATAGATTTAAATACCAATTTCCAGCTCCAAAGTATTTAAAATTTCATTCAAAAGGCTTCCTGAAATTTTTTACATCAGGAGGTTTTAAAAAATACAGTGGAGAAATTCAAGTTAATTGATTTTCCAAAGGAACTATTTTTAATTGAGACTCACCATCCTTGGCCGCTTTGGCTTTTTGTGCAATAACCAGCAAGTTTCGGTACTTTTGGATGATCTCCTCTTTAGAAAGGGCCTCTAGGGCAAGCTTCTTTTGATCCATTTTTGTTTTCGAGTCTCGTGTCACAACATCTGCAAAACAAAAGCGTGTAAAAATTAACACGTCAGGGAATTCGTCGCAGCAAAAGGCACGATCTTCACGGAAATTTTTTCGAACAATAATTTTGCTCTCAATCAATCTTTGAAGCGGAAGCTTGAGAAAAGATTGATTTTAATTGGCTGTCAAGAAGAGTAATTACCTTGATCGCAAAGTTTATTGACATCAATTGAATTTATAGAACAATAAAAAAAGCGAACAGAAGCTCAGAAATCTTTTGCTGATGTTTATAATTTTAGTGCCAACCAAACTTAATATTGAATTATTACAATTTCAGATAATTAAAAGTGCCAGAAACGTTTATTTACCCTCAAATTTTTGACGAAGTTTAAAAATTTATTGTAATTAACCTCAGAAATTCCTGAATGTGGTTTTTTTCTGTATATTCTGAGAGAATGAAAAAATTGCTTTGGTTGGCACGCGTGCTGATCAGCTGCACAGTGTACATAAAATTTTATTTATTTATGCCACTTTGAAAATCAGCGAAAATGCAGCGCCCAGAGCTGTGAGGAAGGCCACGAAGATTAATTTTCTGTCGCCTCTGCCGAGATAAAAGAATCATGTGAGTTTTTTCTCTGTCTGGTGCCCACATTTTCATTTACGCTGCCCACTTTCAACACCGTTCTGTGACGGCTGAGAAACTACTTTTTGTGGTGAGATCCGAAGTCCGTAAACTTGAGTCGTGTGATTTTCGGTAAACATTTAAAGCTTTTTCTAGAAGCTGAATTTGAACTGCGTCGATTCACTTAATGCAATTTCCTGTATGACAAATTATGCTGCACAATTGAATCAAATTTAATTTATGCAGAAAATTTTCTACCATCTTATTCAATTTTTGTAGGTTTTGAAGTTTCGTTAGCGTTTCGGCTACAATAACAATAATTACTTTACTTTATTATAATTTAAATTCCTGTCGATAAATTATATTGGAATTGACTTTTCCCAGTCAATATTTGCATTTATTAGCATAAAAAAAATTAAATAACCTGGTCAGAAATACTATCAAAATTCATTATCATGGAAAGTGAAGAAAACGGTCTTTGGCCTGGTTGAAAAAATTATTGATATTTTTTCCTTAAAAACAACACGGTCATTTCCTTGAGGGCTAATTTCTTCAACCGGAAAAAAATCTGCCATTAAGTTTAAAAAAAAAAAAAATATTGTATCAAAACTCATTGGAGAAATCAAGAAGCAAAAATGTACAATTCTTGATTTTGATCTATTAAATTATAGATTATGCATAATCCGCTCAAATTCGCTTTGATAAAATTAAGCTTGTTTACCAAATTTAGATTTGCAGTGTTATCAATTAATTCCACTTAATCGACTTTTAATCGCCTCAGTCTCGCCTAGCTGATTACAAGCATTTTTTTAGCTTCTGTAAAATCTCTTAAATCAAATTTTATAAAAATAATTTTTTTAATTAATTATTCATTTCAGATTATTATGGAACTTTAAACTAATTAAACAAAAAATTCAATTTCTTTTTAACAAAAAGATTATTAATTTATGCAATATTTGCAAAATAAATTTTATTTTTTATTTTATTCTGTGAGGCGTTGTTATTCTAGAAAGTGTTGCAACAAAAACATCCAGGTCAAAAAATTAAATCAAAATGATTAGCATTTCTTTTCCGCAGTTCAAAGATTCATTTTTGAAGCGAGCTTCTGTGCTCGTCCAGCTATTTCGAGTTTTGCGAGTAAACACTTGAAATAGAGCGCACCACAGATACCCGGCGCACTCGTGCATTTATAAAAAGCGTATTTAATTATCACAATATCTCGCCTAATTAGAGCAAGTCTGCGTCCGAGTTGGCAAGGAAAACCATCGCGGTCCAGAATCAAGCGCTCGGATTTCAAATCAAATCGACTTGTTTACCATGTTCGGGTCAATCAGGTGCCTCTGTTGTTTGTGAATGGGGGACCAGACGTTGTCTGCTGTTCTCGCATTGTTGGTTTTGGATTGCACGTCATTTTTAATTTTGTTATCAGCCCCGCGCGCCTACCCAGTTCAAAGACCGGTCTGAAAGTGTAATAAAAAATTAATTTGATATAATAAAAAACAACAAACATTCAAATTCGAGCTGCGAGAACTGATGTGTCTGGCCGCGTGCCACTCTCTCTCCTCCATTCAAGAAGAAGTCTCTCCCGAGTGCTAATAATAAAAATAGGTCCATCGTGATGGGTGCTAATTATTTTGTTGTTTGCAGATGGAGTTTGTTTGATACTCAAAGCTCGGCGGCCAACCAAAGCAGGTACGCCTAATTTAAATTGGAACAAAACGATGTTTAAATGAGATTAATATAGCTTCATCAATTCCTTTTTCTTGCCAAGTAATTTATTCATTGAAGCGAATGATGATTTTTTCAGACATTACCTTTTTTTAATTTATACAGAAAAATTTCAATTATTTAGTTTATTAGTTTTGGATTTTTTTTTCTTTCAATTTAAATCACGTTGAATTCAAATAGAACCCTCTAAAGCTGTGTAAAATGGAATAATGTAGCTTTTGAGCTTCTTTAATTCCTGTTTTCTTGCCAAGAACTTTGTTCCTTTTCCCAGAAATGTTTGCTACTTTTGCCAAATATCAAATTTAAAAAAAAAACTTGATTTTCTTAAGAAGTTGACACTCGAGGAGATGATCATGGAAATGAAGAAATCGGGGTTTTCCTCGTTGTAAAAATGGTTTTTAATCTTTAAATAATTAAAATTAATAATAACGAGGAAAAGCCTGATTTCTTCTTTTCCATGATTTGTTTTTTATTCTTCATTTGATCTGGTGAATAAAATAATTATTACATAAAAAGACTATTAAAAATTTCCTGCATCAATTTAAAGAACTAAAAATAATCGACGAATTTTTCCTCTAATTTTCAGGTTTAATGAGTGAGACGAAAGATGAAATTCACGGAACACCTGTCAGCGCACATCACACCAGAATGGAGGAAACAGTACATCATCTACGAGGACCTCAAGGCCATGCTGTACACGGCCGTGGAGGAGGCGCCGTCGGCCGAGCTCACCGAGCCCGAGATCCTGAATCGCCACTTTGCCAGCTTTGACGACTACTTCTTCCAGCAATGCGACCAGGAGCTCAAGAAGATCAACACGTTCTTCTCCGAGAAAATGGCTGAGGCCACTCGCAAGTTCTGCATGCTGCAGAGTGAGCTGAAGGCGTCGCTGGACGCCAGCAGCCACACCAAGTCGGGCCTCACCAAGGCCAGGAAGCTGCTGACGGGCGGCGTGCCGGCCAGAAAGCTGCAGGACCTCAAGCTGGCCTTCAGCGAGTTCTACCTCAGCCTCATTCTGCTGCAGAATTACCAGAATTTGAACTTCACCGGCTTCAGGAAGATTCTCAAGAAACACGATAAGGTGAGCAAAGTTTCTCCCAAAAATTTAACAAGTTTTAAATATCAAAAAATTAATATCTTGAAATTATAAATAAATATTAAATTAATTTATAAAATTTGCTTTCATTAATTTTTAATTTAGCAGTTAATTTCTAATTAAAATAATTAATAAAATAATTGATCCTCTTTATTTAATTTATAAAGTTGCAGTAGAAGAAAAAAAAAAACTGTTCTTTGTGCCGTAAAATATTGAAATAATTTTTTTCTACCAAAGCCTGGTTTTTTATAATTATTTCCTAATTCTATTCATATCGCTTTTAATATTAATTGATGAAGATTTTTCATAGCATTTCAATCTGAATTTTTCTTTTCTGTAATTACAACTTATCTCCTGATCAATATTAATTAAATTTGAATTACATTTCAGCTTCTATCGACTGATCGGGGTGCGAAATGGAGATCGGAGCACGTGGAAACGTCACATTTTTACACAAACAAAGACATAGACAGGCTCATCAAAGAGACTGAGTCCACTGTGACACACGAGATGGAAGGCGGCAACCGGCAGAGAGCCATGAAGAGGCTGAGGGTTCCACCGTTGGGAGAGCAACAAAGTCCGTGGACCACCTTCAAACTAGGCCTGTTTTCAGGCGCCTTTGGCATTTTATTTGTTACTGCAGTTTTATCTGGTAATTGATTTAAATCGCATTCTAAATATAATAATAATTCGGAACAATTCCAGTGATCTTCAGCTCTCCTAGGAATGATTGGTGGATCATTTTCCAACTGTATCGAGGTCCGCTTCTGCTGATCGAGTTTATATTCCTGATGGGTGTGAATGTGTACGGCTGGCGGTCGTCGGGCGTGAACCACGTACTTATTTTCGAACTTGATCCTCGGCACCATCTCTCCGAGCAGCACCTGATGGAGTTGGCTGCCATTTTCGGAGTCATTTGGGCGCTCAGTTTGCTCGGACTCCTGTTCAGCGACAGACTCAGTATTCCCGCCTACTACTGTCCAGCCTCTCTGGCCATTGTGATGATAATCTTCTTGATAAATCCAGTTCGTGTCTCTCAAATTCATATTAGTTTCTGTTTTTAATTCTTTCTATTCTAGATAAAAGCATTTCAACACGAAGCACGGTTCTGGCTGCTGCGGGTGTTGTTCAGGATATTCACCGCGCCTTTCTGGACAGTCGGCTTTGCTGATTTCTGGCTGGCTGATCAGCTCAACAGTTTGGTCTATGCTCTCATGGATTTCCACTTCTTCATCTGCTTCTTCGTTTCGAATCCCAGCTGGGAAACGTTCGATCGTGACACTGGTAGTTTTCTTCATAAGATTTGAAAAATTTTATTCCTAATTTTTTTTCATTAATCAAGTTTTCAACATTGAAAAGTGCAATGAAGAATCCTGGTTCACCCTTCCGATTGTTAACATGTTGCCTGCCTGGTTTCGTTTCGCACAGTGCCTCAGACGTTACAGAGATTCTGGAGATGCATTTCCGCATTTGGTGAATGCTGGAAAATATTCCACCACATTTTTCGTGGTGATTTTTGGAACCCTTAGACGATATCACCAAAGTAAGATAAGTCAAGAAAGGAAATAAAAAGTACCAATTCTAGAATTCACAGGCGATTACCAAAGTCATGCAGAGAACCCTTTCTTTTACGCCTGGTTGTTGTCTGCCATTGTTAGTTCCTGTTATTCCTATGCTTGGGACATAAAAATGGATTGGGGATTTTTCGACAAAAACGCAGGAGAGAATAAGTTTTTGAGAGCCGAAGTTGTGTATTCGTCAAAGGTATAATTAAAATGGAAATATAATTATTTATATTTTTTCATCCGTCTGTTATTTTCAGTATTACTATTATTTTGCTATTTTCGAGGACGTCATCATAAGATTCGCCTGGGCATTTAGCTTTTTGATTATTGAAAATGGATTCCTAACGCCACCTGTCATGACATTCATAATATCTACGCTTGAAGTTTTCAGGTAAAGTCATTATTCCTAATAAAGAGAATAAAAGAAAAATTATTAAATCATCTACAATTGCAGACGGTTTGTTTGGAATTACTTCCGTTTGGAAAACGAGCACTTAAACAACTGTGGTAACTTCCGAGCTGTTCGTGATATTTCCGTGGCACCGCTGGACACGTCCGATCAAGCTGTAATGGTGCGCATGATGGACGAAAGTGATGGGGTTGTGCATAGAAGGAAGAAGAGACCTGTTAAGAAGAAGGATGAAACCACCCTTTACTTACTGCAGGAAGAAGCGCCGCAGTCGACGTCCAGTCCTCCTCTCGGTTAAAACTAAAACTGAATTATTTACGGAATTATTTAAAAAAGTCTCTCAATGTGGTTACCAGCAATTTTCCTTTTCGAATGTGTTTTGGCACATTTTCCTACTGCCAATGACTGCATTGTATAGAAGGAAACCTTGATGGTACGCAAAAGCATTTCTCGACAAGTATGTAATGGCTCGAATGTGCGACGTTTTTAGAATAATTATAGGATTTCATTGGTATGTGATAATTGAAACTTCAAGCATGATACTGGTTTTAGAATTTAGTGTTTGTTTTTTTTTCAAGAAAGCGCAGCCAGCATTTAATGTTTTTACCATTTAACTTCATTACATGTACCAATCATTGCGTATAAGTCTTAATAGTGAGGGACCATTTTGGGAACCTGAGTAAACTTTGTGTTGTGAAAGTCGGGAACGAGAATCTGTCCTTTCGTTTCTAGAATTATTTGAAATGTCAGTGTTTGAATTGAAAAAATAACTCAATAAATCACGCAATTCACTGGAGGGTCTTACTTGTAGGACAGCAATGACATAGTTTTAAGCTGAATCAATAATAAACGCTGAAACTGCCGAGATTTGTATATATTTAGCATTTTTATCTTCACAGGATATTTGCAATTTAATTAATCCCGTTTTGCGACTGGTTATTATTGTTGAGTTGCGGAAAAGATTAAAGATGATAAACATCTTTTGATGTAACATTCAGTTTTTTAAATCCCTCTCTTATAAATAAATAAACATAAACCATCTTTTACATTGATTTAAAACTTGTGCCATTCATTGTTGTTTTGCTTTATATCTTTTGAGAAGAAGAAAAATGAAATTTGGAAATTTTATTTAGGATAGCCATGTCAAATATAGTTGAACCTGTCCAATAAATTGTTGAAAAAGCTTAGTAATGTTAAATATACGAGTAAATTTTATTTCACATTTTAACTCCTTCAGCAGGAAAAGCAAAATAGTTTTAAAGCAAATTAATGCGTTCTTAGAAAATATTACCTAATCCCACACAATTCCACCTAATTTTTCCGCTAATATAATAAAAAATACGTTACAACCAAAGTAATTTTAAAATATTATCAGAATTAAACTATTAAAGTTTAATTTTAAATTTTAAAACTGTATTTTCAATAAGTGACAGTTAATATTATTTGTATTATTCCATAAATCCAATTTATTAATAGAATATTGCAAATTAATTTTCTTTTTAAATTAAAATAAAACTTAAAGCTTTATAAATTAAGCATTATAAAGTTTTAGCACGTGTTTATACAGCTCTTTGCGGCAATCAAGGCACTCGGCGCCAAGTCACCTCTATACCCGTTTGCCTGCCCGCCCTGGCAGAAACTGGACATGGACACCTTCTTTGAGACCACAGAGGCGAGTCGATGGACCACACCCAGAGGCAGTATCGCGCCTTATTCACATGAAAATTTATGCATTTATTATTCCCACTGCTCGCGCCGGTGCGGCAACTACTTTGACGAGCATAATTATTAACTATCTTTATCATCGCAAGCTTGCGCCATGTGCGCGAGAATGCTGATTAGCGACCGGCCTCGAGATCAAGAAGAGTGCGCTTGTTTGTATCGCGCAGACTAGACTGCTTGCATCAAATCCATAAAGATCGCTTATGAACGTCACCGACTCGGAAATCAGTATAAATATCAAATAAAGATCTAGAAAATAATGGCGCTATTCTCTTCACTTGGTTCTCGGTATAAAAGTTTTACCCGGATAAATCCAAAAAGACATGAATAAAAAAATAAATTAATTGGGTGGTGCCTTCTGTACCGCCAATAAAGGGCATAGACTTTGTCATGGCCTGACCCAGCCTGACCATAAAAAAAAAAACTCCTGCGCTGTCCCAGAATAAATATATTTTTGTTCCGTCTTCATTTTTTTCGTCCTTGTATGTTTTCGTGGGTTTAATTTTAATCATTACTGGGGTTAAGAAAAAGTCGTCCTGAATGAATTGGAGGTCCAAAAAAAATTACGTTGGGATCAAAAAATATTTATCTCGGGATGCAGCGGAATAAAATTCATCCCATTATGGATTTATCTAGGGATATTTTATTTTTTATACCGGGAGAGCTAAATCAAGAGAATGGCGCCCAATATAAAAAAATGCATCTTTTTTACCGAAACTCCCTGTTGTCATTTTTAGCGAATAAAAGTCAATTAATTTTTCAAATTTGGAAAAAATTAAAAATCAATTTCATTCAATTTCGGTTCTAAAATTTTGTAATTGTTGATGGCACAGATTTTCAAAGCAATTTCTTATAATTAAGTATTTTCCTGGACTTCGTTATATTGATTATAATATTTTTGATGAATTTTGTCAAATACCCTTCAAAATGTGAATAAATCCATAAAATTATAATTTATTATTTAAAATAATAAAATTAAATAAATAAATATCATTAAAAATGTTTATATGAAATTTAAAAATTTGGAAAACATTTTCGTAAAAATAAAAATACTTAAAGAGACATTAAATTTTCATATACTTGACTAATAATTGCCAAGAACGTTACTAAAAATTTCCAATTAAACTACACTGAACTACACTTGACATTAAGATGTCTCAGATTTTTACATGCAGCAGTTAATATGTATTTATTTTTTTTTTTTTTAAATTGCATCACGCGTGTTGTAATACAGCTTTGTAGGTATTTTTACGAGCAATGAGAATCCGAATCTGCCGCTTTAACGACGCATTACTTGATTGCTCTGGTAGAACACCCACGGGCCAATTAAGCTCTGCAGCAATGAAATGCCATTTTTTACAAACACACACTCGGCAAGCTCTCTTTTCTCGGCGAGGTGCGGTCCCGATCCTTCGCCACGGTGACTTATTATTATTACGACTGAATACCAAACCAACGCATGTTCAGTACACGTATGGCGTGTGGGTGCAAAAAATAAATTCACCCAGGCAAAATGAAAAAACGGGTGTATTCAAAGGACTCCTCTTTTTTATTGATATCCAAGGAGGATCTATAAATTTTCTCATATGGATAAAAATAAATTTGATATTCATACATAATAATAATATCTAACTAAAGATTTACCTCTGCACAATTTGAGGATAAAAATGTGAGGGGTTGAAAAACACGATTTATGACAGATTGAGAAATTTTAAAAATTTATATTTTTGGTATATCTTCAGGTTAACCCTTATCTACCCTAAATTTTTTTAAATAATTAATTTTGCAATTCTTAATTGTGATATAATTTTGTCATGTATATTTTTTCATTAAAGTTAAGTTTAATTTTTTTTAACAATGTTATCAATGAAATTTTTTCTTTTTTATTATGAGGGCCGGGCCTCTTGGTTTGTTATGGGGTTTTTGCTCAAATTTTTATTTTGAGTCATCATTTTTCTTGAATTTTTTTAATACTTTGGAATTTGAATTTTTTTGATCTTAGTATCTAATTAATCAATTTTTGATCGGTCCCAACAACACGCTAAAAGTTCTTGGATATTATCGTAAAAATCCAATTATAACATTATATCAATTTGAAAAGCGTAATTTTTAATTTACCAGTCGACCTTGAATTTCGGAAGGTGCTGTTAAGGAGAAATAAAAAAGGCAATATCGGCCGTTCCCCCTGCGAATTAAGTGGTTTCGCTGTGACAGATTTTTACAACCTCAACGCATCTCAAATTTTACGACCTGCGATAATACGATCTATTTTTTTCTTCTTCTCTCCGAGTCTCTGGTCGATGAGTATTAATAATTTTTGCTCCGCACAAAAGCCGAAAAACAGGCGCGGATTTTGCTCCTCTCCGGCGGCAGGCTTGAGATATTTGCATGTTTGTGGTCGACCTTGCTCCTCAACGCAGGCGTCTTTAAAATGAACGCAGAGCAAGAGATGAATCTAATCTGCCGAACCGGCCTCAACCTTGATTGGTGCACTGCTATAAATAATAATATTATCGAGGAAAGCAGCGCGTCCAAATAGACCGAGTGCTGCGTGCATTAATTGTCTGGCCGTACAGAAGTTGCTCTTTTGCACGCTCCGGTGAATCGCGAGCTGATAAATTATTGACGCACACGGGAGGTGTATCAATTCATTAGTCGCGTTTTACATTTTTTCTGTACCTGCCGCGCGAGAGATATGGCATCGGCTGTTGCGACAATTTATACATCTCGTCAAATTCCAATGGCACAGCAATAGTTAATTAATTTGTTATTATTGTTGTTCATTCTTCACTAATCAAGTCAAAATAAATTTGCATTGATGTTGTTATTAATTGTGCGAATTGAATAATCAATACTTTTGATTATTTTAAATAAATTAAATTAGACAAGAAAAAACTCAAGCCTCAGCTGAGTTTCAATTATTGAAAAATACAAAAATTGTTCATATATAAAAAAATAAGATAGAGTGTAGCAGCTTCTTGAATTACGTGAACTTTGCAAGTATGTAGAAAATTGTAAATGGCTCGTGGAGTCATTATTGAAGTAAAAAACAGAATAATTTACGACCGCGTAATTGGAAGCCTGCACGCAAAATTCTCGGTCTGACTGTAATCAAGAAAATTTATTCCATTTATTCTTTTCTCACGATATTGGAGTAACTCAATTTAAAATGTTTGATAACACCGATGATTGATAAGTATTGAGAAAAATTAATTACTAACAGAGATAAGGCGGCCGTCATGGGTTTCAAATCTGCCACTTCTTTTCTGAAATGACTGTACACGTGTGCGTTTCGAGATATTTTTCAGTCAGTTTAGCGGCACGAAATAATGTTTTTCCGAACTGGATTCAAGGCCGCGACAAAGAGTGTATATTGAGCCATTAGCAAAAGTTATGTACATTTTAGGAAAACTAATAACACAAGCGTTCGTGTGATCAAATAAGGTATCGAGTTTGCGACCGGACTTGAAAGAAAGAATGAAAGAGAGCCCTATAAAGTGTTCCAGTCGGTGGTTCTGCCGGCTGCTCTACTGCCTTACTTGATTCTTTGAAATTGACCCGGCGGCGAGAAAATAGCAATTTAAATTTTGACTTAAATTTTTCAAATTAATATAGTTCAATATTGTTATTATTAATATATAATATTTATTTTTAATTAAATATCATTTACTTCATATTTATTTTTTTTAAACTTGAATTAAAATTCATTTTTTTTCTACATTTTATTCATTATGCACAATTTATATTAAATCTTTAAAATAATATTTAAAACAAAATTGTATTAAAATTCCGAATTCTGTTGATAATTTTTAAAATTAATCTTTATTTAAGTAACATTCCATGGCTCTGACTAGGTGTAAAGTACATTGTGAATTAAATAATTAATAATTAAAATTAGATAATCTTAACGTATAATATAGAATATTACCAGGCGCTTAGCTCACCGGAATTAGAAAGGATTTAAATTTGTTTATTAATGTGTCTGAAAATGTTCGAGGAAAATCGTCCGTTGTCTTGTGACTGAATGACATTGCTCAAATCATGTAGATTGATTATTATTTTGGTCGCT